GAACTGCTCAGCTCCACATCTGAGATTTACTTTTCCCACAGATTGCAAATCTAATCAGAGCTGTCCATCTCTCAAAAAAGGTACCCCAGGCAAAAGAAAGGAGTTTCAGATGACCGGGAACTTGCCTTCCTCCCCTCAGTTCAAGACACCGACAATTTGCGAGAGGAACGGATTTTTCATTCCCAAGAAAGTCAGCAGGGGGTGTTGCAGGTTCTTTGTGAACCCATCTTAACATCCAAGCCCCGATGGAGCAACACTGCATTTCCTCTATTCCGGCTCCCCAAACAGTCAGGAAGAAGCTCCAGCTTCACACAATCACACCTCCTAAGGGCATGACGTTCCTCCTAATGCTCCACAGTTCCCAATCACAAATTAGGCAAGAAAGGAAGGTTAAAACGAAACTTACTTGATCTAAGCAGAGTTCTGTGACCACTTTTGGGAGTCATTGGAGGTGGAACCGAATGACTGCTTGAAGAGAGGATGGCATTAAAATAGAGCCCAGATCCTTCTCTCACTGGACTAAGGATTGGTGGAGGAGTGTAGGGAGGTAGCTCAAAGTTCCTGTCTGAATTATGGTCTGCCAGACGGACAGGTGACCGTAAGTGGCTCTGATACGGAGTAATGTTGGAATAAACAGGTGGTGCAATAAAGGTGCCAGCTTTTGGTGGTATGAAGAGTGGCTCGGGTCTTGGCCGCTGCTTTGGTTTTCGGGCAAAGCCCTCTGCTTCATCCTTTGGAACAGCATCTTCATGCTATTAGATAAAAAAAAATTATATTGTTAATTTAATTTAAAACCTCAGATTGATTGAAAAACTTCAGTGAGATGACAACATTTTTTTATGGCAGCTCAAAATCTGCATAGAACAGTTGGAGGACTTCTCAACAATCAGCAGAAGGAGAAAGTGAAAGTAATGGAATGCAATGGACACAGGAACTGTTAGGTAGCAGCTCTAACTCATGTGATTATGAAGTTATATATACAAGAACTACATGTACAGCTGGTGCAACCTTCATGACAGCTTTAAAAGAGAGCAAAAAAGCACAGCAGAACCCTGCTGCAGATACACAGTGACAACAAATAGCAGTAAGAGAACAGAAGAAAATATAACAGTATTTTATTAGATGATCAAGCATTTAAATGCAGAGAACCCTCCCCAGATGCCTTTTCTCTGATATCTGAACATTCTGCTGTACTTATGGGAAGAAGAAAGGGAAAATAAAAAAATCAACCACCTACTCATCACTACCACGCTGCAGGGGAACAATCAAGTGCTGACCTTCAGAACTTAGTTAAAGGTTTTAGTTGCCTGAGAATAAATCTTCAGATTTTGTTCACATTGAGAGATAAGTCCACTACTTAGAATTTATTGGTATTTATGTATGTATGAAGAAAGCACTCTGGGCACAGACAGACTATTATGCTACTCTTTTTGCCCATCTAGCTTTATTCACTGTTCAGTGAATTTAGTGAGGCACTGCCTGACTTTCCTAGCATTAGCTGTAGGTCATGAAAAGCCAGCAATGCCCAAATATATGGCAATATTATGATAAAAAAAATCCCCAGACTACATACATTCCAAGTTCAAGCCTTGAGATCAAGCTACTTTACTAGAAAAGTTCATGGCTAAAAACTGTGTGATTAAATCTAACAGATGTGTCTCAACTTTGGTTTCTTAGTCCATCCATACCTGACTCGAGGTCTCCATGTTAGTGTTACGATTAGATCGCCTCCGAGTGACTATCACAGAAGGCTTCCTTTCACAAGGAGCTCGATCGCTTGTTTGGCCTCTCTGGAGCTTTCCATCCTCAGACTTTTCCTTTTCAAGGCTCTGCAAGTCAATTTTTCTCACTGGCACAGACACAGGAATGATAAGAGGCACAAGGCTGTTATCATCCCGGGCTTTTTTGGGAGCTGGTGAAGAACTGGCGAATTCCACAACACTTTTTGAAGCTGCAGTAGGTCCTGGAGCTGTTACTAGCACAGTCTTCTTTTCCTCTGAATTATCCAGTTCCTGAGAAGAAAAATAGATTCCTAAGAAGTTTTGTATTACCTACATAATAAATGAGATATCATCTCACTTTCAGTGTATTTCAAGTTTCTTGATGCAATTTGCAAGCTGAAATGGATTTGGAAGTATTACTAAAGAAAAAAGAATATGTCACAGTGTTAGTGTTACTAAAATTTCATAGAATTAACTGAGGATTGTCTGTACTCTCAACTGCTAGAACACTTATATACATCATTCTTAAGAATTGTTTCGCTACATATGTTTTGACATTTTATTTTTCTATATGAATTCGTATACTGCTTTATAACTTTCAACAAAGGCTCTTTA